GGGAGATCTGAAAATAACAGCCTTTGAAAGGGGAGTGGTGTCCATGTCGACGATACCAGGACCTGAAGTGAACCTGGAGGCAGACGTAGATGCATTGGCTGCGATGGTAGAAGCAGCTGTCTTAGAAATGATGGGCTGGACAACTGAAACAGGGCTATGTGTGGAAGGATTTGGAAGAGGGGCGGGTAGGATAGGAGGGGGGGAATGTACACACAGAGGCACTGGGGATTCTGTGTTGCAGGAGGGTGGCTGTAAGGAGGGGGTTGAGGTGTTAGGAAGTGTGGTGATGTCAGAAATAAGACAGGTTACAGCAGTGACTGGCTGAAGAGGGCCTTCTTTCTTCACAGGAATTCCACAAATGAGATTGGAACTAAGATGAGGAACAACACCAGCAGGAATAGCTGGAGAAGATTTAGAAACCATCTGGGCTGTCTCCTGAACAAGGTTTGCTATTAAAGATGGAGGGACAGAGGCAGTCGGGGGCTTGGCAGATTGGTCAGCCAAGTCATCAGTAGGAATGGGGACTTGCAAAGTGCGACTCGCCAAAAGCAGAGAGTTAGCGGTCTCTGAGGCAAGTAGGCATAAAGAAGTGGCTGACTGAGCATCTGAGCAGTCTCCTTTGATCTCTCTTTTGTCTCCCAAGGTCTTACTCCTCTGACATTTGGTATTCTTCAAGGTGTCCAGGTTTTTGTCAGTAGCTCCGCAGGGAAACCTAGGAAGTGGGGGCAACTGGCCCTGGCCCCACCACTGGGGCGGTGGCGGTGGCCGAGAATGGGACGTGGATGTTTTCCGTTTGCAGGGCCTACAGCTGGCAGATACAGGGGAAAAAGAGCTCCTTGATGAGATGCCTGGAGGCTCATTAGCCTGTATCTCCTTCCTGGAGAGGTATGATGTGTCCCCAACAGGCTGAAGGCTTTCACCCGACACTTCCTTTGTTGATGTCTCCTGCAGTAAGGGGCAGCGTGGGGGTGGCTCAGAGAGCGCTGCTGTATCTGTATCAGGCACGACATTTCCGGCTGGGCCATGTGGGGAGGTGACTGCGCGGCCTACAGGGCGGCAGTGCATCAGAGACTTCTGGGTATTCTCCCTCAAACGGTCTTCTGGAGGATTAGGATGCAGGTCCAAAGGTGCGGGACTGCGCTGTGAGGAAGTGAGAAGCCCACCGGTCTCCAGGGGACTAGATTTTAATGGTATGTCCCCAACGTGATGGGGGACCCTGTTCCCACCACTCTGCCCTTTGGTCTCTACGAGATCCTCCATCTTTTTTCTGGGATCTTCTTGGACCTTCTCCTCCACCCCAAATGGGCACCAAAGTGGGAGGTGCCTGGATGGTACCGGCTCCACAGCCTCCTCTACCTTCTCAGATAGTGAACGTGGGAGAGTGAATTTGCGCCCCAGAGGAGGGATCCTTTTGGCTCTGGAGTGTCCAAACATCATGGAATTACGAGCAGACAGCACAGGTTTTTTCGGAGAGTGACTCCAGTTCACCAAGGGAGGGATCCCCAGAGGGGTACCTGCGGCCTTCGGGATGGGGTACCGCCTCTTGGGCTGGACGAATAAACTAGCCGGTAAAGGCCTAGGATTCCGGTGGAAGAGCCTGCGCCCAGGGCCCAGGGCAAGTGAAGGAGCAGCGGGGTGGTCCCGGCCAGGTGGTGGAAGAGCATCGCGGGAGGGGGGGTGCAAGGGCCACACATCGCCAGGCAGCGGGCAGGAGCGGCGGAGGCGGCGGCGGGGGCGGGGCGGGAAACGAAACTTACAAAGCAGGTTGCCCATATCTGGCTGGTTGTGCGCCTAACGACTGAGAGATGGGAGTAAAAAAGCTGGAGAGCGCCTCCTGAGCTTCCGACTCCTTTCTTAGTCAAACAGGCACTGAGCCTGAGGGACTGAGCCGGGCCTTATGTGCCGCCTCCCACAAGATGGCGCAAACAGGGGCGCGCATGCGCAGCATGGCAAGTGACCTCAGCAAAGGGCAAAGGGCGAGGCCCCAAAGCCCCGCCCCGTAGCCTCCCGCCTCTGGGACTTCCCGCCTGAGGCCAGCAGCCCTTGGCTGGTGTATAGGTTTCCGGCTGCCTGTGGCGGTTGTATGCAAGCAGCAGGGCCACTGCGTGGAGACTGTGGGGGAGTGCAGTGGCTGTGGGGCCTCTCAGCGCCTGGGTGTGTGTCGCCAGCCCTTCTCTCAAGAAAGACGAGCGCGGGAGCTCCGGACACTGCGGGGGAGGGGGGGGCGGGTGGCCTGCTGCCCCCGGGACCCTCTCTGCTTCCCTGTGAGGCTTAGAGCCAGGTGCATCTTCGCTAGGGCTGCCCAGGCCTTGAGCATCACCCTTCCATGCGGACGCCAAACCCTGACCTGACTGCATGCTGCGCCCCAAGACCTCCCTTCGTGGCAGGCAAGTTCTTGCTTTCTTCCTTGTCGGGAATTTGGCAAAACCTTTACAATTGACACCTCTCAGGTCACGCAGGTGCTGGTGGCTTAGCCGGGATTCAAACCCAGCGGAGTGACTCCAGAGCTCTTCCTCTGGACTGTGACGCCTCCTTACCGTATATGCATCGTATGTTACCATTTTTTCTTTCCCTTTTTCTTAGTTCTTAGGGTACTTCGCACCGTGCCATACTCACGGGGAGCATAGGCACTGCCCAGTACCAGGCCTCCGTTGAACAGAAGTTCAATTCATAAATTAATCAGGGCCGCAATGGGTTCTGGCCTCAGAAGACCATGGCTCACGGACCGCCAGTTGTAAGCATAGCACCATCCCACATTTGTAACTGAGCTTTGCAGCCCGGAGTTTCTCTTTGGTCTACTCTGAAGAATCCAAATACGTAAGATTATATGTGAATATATAAAGACTGTATTCTAGATACCTTGTGGTCTACCTGAAGGGAATTCACCAGTTCCATATGGATGAGAAGCCAGTTTCTCCGGCCTTCTAGCAATGTGTCTAATAAGGCATCTCACTAATGTCTAGAAAGCAAATATGTCATTTATTGTAAGTTAATAGTGGAGCAATGTATTGGATTAAAGTCACATCACCACAATTTGGTCATTGTGAGCATGCCAGCCGGGTCCATTCTTCACCTCACCTTGTTGGCATTTGAATATAATTCTAGAGATTCATATGCTCAAGAGGGGAGAGATATGCCTGGGTGTCTGGCGAGAGAAACTTGTATTATTGTCTAGGAGCTGAAAACTTCAGCATGAAGAAAAAGGTTTGAAAAATCTTGGCCTACGTGTGGCTTTGCCTAGTTTGAATCTTGTTTCTTTGGTTTACTTCATTGAAGTGTTTTCTCTCTCATGGTACTGATGTTGCATATGGGGGCATGCCATGCATAAGGTTTAGAACCTAGAATCCTATAATCAGTACAAAAGTATATATATATATATACTTAAAAGTTTTTATACATATAGTATTATATTATACATAGTATGTAATATATATTATATATATACACACAGTAAAATCTTGGAGTGTGAGTACCTTGTTCTGCGAGTGTTCCACAAGACAGGTAGACATTTCTAATAAATATGAACTTGATAAATGAGTGATGTCTTGCAATACAAGGAGTATGTGATGTCAAAGGTCACATGACAATTGAGCCAATGGTTGTCTCTCTCTCTCTGTCTCTTTCTCTCTCTCTCTCTCGGTCTCTCTCTATTTCTCTGTGGGATTGTGGGTGATGGTCTCCCATGCTCAGATGCTCTGTCTCGGGTCACAGTGTTTGGCAGAAATGAGTGATTTTTCAGAGCAGTGGGAGGTGCCCACAACTGACACTAACTAGTGTATTTTTGTCACTTCAAAGCACCAATGGACAGTCCTTTGCTTTTGCACACAAGAATAAGCTTAGGAATGCATTGCTTCATTCTAGGTCAGGCTGCCTGCAGATATAGCCCCTTTCCTCTGCTGCCTTATTGCCGGTTCCATTAAATAAGTATATGACAAGAGCTTACTAATACTGTATGTAGTGTAGTCAACCTCCATTAGTGATAATGAAAGTCATCCTACACAAGATCCCTCCTCTCTCTTGTCTCCCTCACACCAGCCACAAAAGTTTTCAAAGGTAAGTGCATTTATGTTTCATTATATTTTATATTTTCTTTATTGTTTTGTATCACATTACAGTATCATAATGATTTTTGTATGAATATTTTTGGATTGTGGGACAAATCATCTGAGGTTCCATTATTTCTTATGGGGACGTTGGCTCTGATATAAAGTGCTTTGGATCACAAGATGTTTCTGGAACAAATTATGCTTGCAAACTGAGGCTTTTACTGTATTTAGTTTTTTGTATATTTAAAGTAGCATTGGTCATAGTTTGTATCTTATACAATTAATTTCACTGCTCTGTTTATGAGAGCTTTTATAGTATGTTAGAGCCAGTTTGGACTTCCATCCCCAACCAAGTTGGAAGTTGGTAGGACACAAGAGGTTTTGCTCAGACCCAAATGCCGCTTGAAAAAAAGGAGAAATATAAGCCCTTTCTAATCTGTCTGGGAGCACAAATGATTTATAGATATGACATTTAACCACAATCCCTTTGATATCATTTGAGTTCAGTAAGGAACAATTTCTTGATGTTGTTTGTTTGAACAGAAATAGCAAACTTGTGCAAATGTTGGGCAAAGATTTCTTCTAGGAACTCTGAAAAAGATGATTATGTCAGATATATTTGGACACAATAAATGACAGCATGTTATTTCCATCTTTTTGTTTCCCCGTACAAAGGGGCAAATTCAGCATATGATGAGTGTTGGGGCTTCAGGACAATACAAGGAAATTTGGGTGAGGATATCCCATAAAAATCTACCTCTTGATTTTTCTTGTCAAATGGGAGTAGACAGGAGGGATGCTGTTTTGAAATATAGACCATTCTCTTACTTGTCCTTAAAAGCAAAATATATTAGATGGCAATGATTCTTCTGAGCTAATTTGCCTTGGCAGAAGCCAATGTGTTGAGACAGAACTTGTGAAGGCAAAATAATTTTTGAGCGATTAATTTAATCATTAATAAAAATATTTTGATACTAACAGCAAATTATAGTTGCCAGGAGGATTCCTTCTCATTTGACAATTTATGAAGCACCAATCTCCAGTCTAGTAAATGAAGCCAGGGGTGTGTAGTTTGAATGGAATTGGTAGTAGGGACAGTGAACCATGGCTGACACCCTGTGATGGAACACTCCCTCCCTGTTCCCTTGTCTTGCCCACCAGCAATCTGAGGTGATTCATACAGAGTTAATATGGAGGGAAGACTGAGTGATCCATGAAACTCGTAAGTGAACTGTTTTTTTTCCCCTAAAATAACTTTTGTCTGCCAGGTTTCAACCCCTGTTCTCTCTTCTGTTTACTAGAAACAGGGCTCAGCAGAAGCTCACTGGCCTTGTGCAGCCCCTTCTTTGGAAGTCCTTTCTTGATCCCTCCATTCATCGGTCTTACATTTCACTTTTTGCCTTCTAGAAATGTATCAAAATCTTTCTGTGGTTGTGACTGCCACATTCTCTTGGCTTTGATTGGTTTTCATTTTGGTATTTCTGTACTTTTATTAACTGTGGTTTCCAGGAGGAACAGAAAGTAAACGTGTTTTTCTAGTCTGCTGGCTTGAACTGAAAATACCTGTTGATTTTAGCATCCAACTTTCCCATATAAGAAAAAAACCCAACCTCAGCATTCACCTTTCTTGTGAAATCACTAAGAGTTTAGGAGGTAGCAATTTCTAATAGGAAAATAATACCTATCTCATGGAGTTGACTTAAGGATTAAATGAGATGGTGAACATGAAAATTATTTGTAAAGCTTAAAGTTGTCCAAGAATTTTTTGTTATTATTTTTATTTGTTGCTATTTCAATGTTACTATTGTTTTTGTTGCTACTTCAACTTCCCTTGAAAACTGTTTATGACATTGCTTATGTGAGAAAATATCTTCTTGTTTATTGTTTTGAAATCCAGACTGTATTTTCAGTAGCTCAGTGGAAATGGCATTGTTGTTTTTGAAGATTAGGGGTAAATACACGAATGTTCCTTGACACCTATCACTTTGTAATATTTTTAGGAACTAAGTGACTCATGTCTTCTTCCAGTTTTGTTGAGGATCTACTAGCAGCCAGTTATTAGGTGGTGGAACACATTTTTCAGATTTTAGATATTTAGGCTTTGTGGGCCATGTACAGGTTCTGTACCTTCTTCTCCTCCTTCTTCAACAACCTTTCACAATGTAAGAACCATGATTATATCACGGATCATACAGAAACAGGCTGAGAACCCGATTTGATCTGTGGACCCTTATTTGCTAACCCCTGCTCTACGTTCATAGAGTAGAAGGTATATCCTTGGGTAATTCACTTCTTGAAATTAATTATTGGTCTTCCTGAATTTGTCTTTACTCCTCTCCAGTCTCCAATCAACATGGCATCCAGAGATATTCTGTTAAAACTTAGGTCATATCATATCACTCAAGTCACTTCAGTTGCTCACTCAAGACAAAAACCGACGTCCTCAAAACGCTTCCACAGCCCTGGCAATCTGGGCCTCCATTTCCTTTCCGAGTTCATTTCCTTCTCCTCTCTACTTTGTTCGCTCTATCCTCCACACCCTGACATCCTCTCTGTTCCTTGACTATTCCAGGCACATTCTTTTGCCTCACTGCTTTCCATCTGCCTGTTGCCTCTGCTTGCAACATTCATTCCTCAGATAGGTACATTGCTGTCTCCCACATTCACCTCATGTTCTTTCTTAAATTTCATCTCCCCATAAAGCCTTCATTGATTGCTTAATTTTGCATTGCAACCTCTTCCCATCAACTAATAATGTCAATATCCCTGCCCTGCTTTCTAGTGCTCTCTAGCACTTACCTAATATACTAGTTTCTTATCCATTTGTTTAGTTTTTGTTTATATGTTTATACTTAAGTTTAAATATTTGCTCATTTGTTTATTTTTGCCTCCCCCTCTACTTAGAAAGAGGGGATATTCATCTGTGTCGTCCACATGTCTGTAAAACCTACTAGAGAAGGTTTTGTTTACCGAGAAGAAAATTTTCTTTGACTGAATGAATAATTGTGTGCATGAGTTAATGAACGAATCTCCAGGGTTTCTGAATTGAGGATTGATGTAAAGAGGAAGGCAGATGGTTGGGACAAGGTACTGCAAGAAGCAGTATTTGTAGTTCTCTGATAACTAATGAAATACATAGGTGTTTGTTAATTTACGTAGTTTCTGGGAGAGCTGGGAACTAGTCTGGGGATCCATATCATCAAGATTTTTATAGTGCATTCTGTAGAGTTATTTTCAAGCATGTACAAATACCAATGAAAATGTGTGCATTCATATACACCTCTGGTTTACCTTATTTGATACTTTATAAGAGCCCCTCAAAGTAGGGATGGGAAGTATTAATATCCCTCCTTTATGATAATGAACTTCCTTTGCTCAAGGTTACATGATAATTTAGTTGCAAATGTCAAACTAGACTCAGGGTTTTTGAGTAGATCCTCCCTAGAAACCCATGATGTTAATAAAACCCACAAAAGTTCATTTGGCATCCAATGATGCCCACACTACAGACTTATTTATGGGCCATCCATTTTGATGAAGAAGTGATTTAGCTTATACAGGCAAGAGTATATTAAGTTTTGTCCTCTATTAATATTAGTAATGGGAAAAGTGGGCTCTAATATCCTCAGGTTGGTTTGAGACCATCATATCTGCATTATGGGCATGGAGATGTTTAGCCAGGATATGCTTCTCTGCCACTCAGAATTCCCATAATATATAGTGATATGTATGGAAACAGATAAGGGACATGTGGGTAATTATGAGTCCTTCAGCATGATTTTTCCAGAAACCTTGCCTTAAAATGAAAATTGTTTGGACATTTTCAGCTGTGAAGAATTCGTTTGGATGTTAATTTTCATGGTAAGTGAAATGAGCTTGTTTTATCTCTGTCGCCTCCCATACACCTTTCTCCAACCTCTGTTTTGTGTTTGGAAAGACTTTTAGAAATGAAACCTCAAGATAAAAACAAAATGACAATGTAGATGATACCTGGGATATTTTGTTGGCTTACATGAACATGCAGAATTAAATATGATCTAGTTCAAATGTTTATTTTATTTTAATATTGTATATTGGGGTGGAACCTCCAAAGTGCCAGAAACAGGAACTCACCTGTCCTTTGTGGAACTGCAGCCCATATACACCTTCAAGAACTCCTTTTGTTCTTCCTTGACTCATCTTCAGGCACCACTGTTTTCTATGTATCTAGTATATAGCTTATTTAGTTTTAAGAATTTTCCAGATTCAGGGTGCCTGGGTGGCTCAGTCGTTTAAGCATCTGGCTTCTGCTCAGGTTATGTTCTCACGGTTTGTGGGTCCAAGCCCCCCGTCGGGCTCTGTGCTCACAGCTCAGAGCCTGGAGACTGCTTCAGATTCTGTGTCTCCCTTTCTCTCTGCCCTCCCCCACTTGTGCTCTGTCTCTGTCTCTCAAAAATCAATAAATGTTAAAAACTGTTTTTTGGAAAAAGAAAAAAAAGAATTTTCCAGATTCTTCTTAATATGCAGTTCTCCAATTCCTATCATGCCGAGTCTTGCACCAGTTACATATAACAGAAGAGTTTTATTTCTCTGTATCGTTCAAAAGCCAATAAGAGAGCAATGCACTGGGGCCGATGATATGTAGGTTCTTATCCCAGATATACCATAAAATAATTGTGTCCCCTTGGGAAAATCATAGTTATTTTGGGCCCCTTTCCTTTTCTTATTTTGACAGAGTTTTGTCCTAGATGATTCAAAGTAGCATGTGCACTCCTTGAGTGATAGTTAAAATGTTACTGGTATTCTAAACAAATGAAGACAACTGCGCATAAAGCTGTACATCTTTTCTGTGGCTGTGTTTTTCAAGCTGCCTCCATTTTACAGATGGTAAGATGACAGAGCACAGCAGATGCAGATTATTTAACCAGAGGCTCCAAAGTAGATGGAACTAAACCACAAGTTTCCATTTCTTTCTGAAGCTCATTTAGCCAAAACATAGGCTGCTGAATATTAAGCTGTGAAGCATATCATCAGTATGTTTAAGGGAGGCTGTTCTTATGGGATTGCTCACTAATAGGAAGTTTTGAAATTCTTACAAGATCACCTAATCTTGTGAGATTTACAGTTCTGTTTTCATATCAAGCAAGTCCTATCAGTGCCAGGTAATCATCTGAATTTCCGGTTGCTTCTCTGAACTAAACTTCTGAACCTCTTGAGGGTTTCTTCTTGCTATCTGAAATTTTTGCCAGAATAGCCTTTTTTTTAGAGAGTACATTCAGGTTTCTATATTCCACATAAGAAAGAGAGATTCAGTGAGTCAGGGTAGGGGTTAAGCCCTCCTTCCCATTGTGGTATTGAACTCCCGGCAAAATATAATCATTAAGAGACAAATTTCCTCAAAATAGAAAAGTAGTTATCTCAGACTTTCAATATCAAGTAAGTATTTTTACATTTCCCTGTAATACATGTGTTTATTGTACCTAGACAGACAGACAGACACACACACACACACACACACACACACACACACACACAGGAATATTATTCAGCCTTAAAAAGGAATGACATTCTGATCAATGCTACAGCATGGATGAACCTTGAAACTATTATGCTAAGTGAGGTAAGTCAGTCACAAAAAGATAAAGGTGTGATTCCACCTAGCTGAGATATTTAGAATAGGCAAATTCATAGAAACAGAAAGTAGAATTGTGGTTTTGGAGAGTTGGGATGAATGGGGATTGGGATGTTGTTATTTTTATGGGTATAGAGTTTTACTCTAGGGTGATGAACAAGTTCTGGAGGTGGGTGGTGGTGATGATTGTACAACACTGTGAATGCACTTTGATATCACTGAATTGAACACTTAACATTTTATGTTATGCATAGTTTGCCACTATAAAAAAAGACTAAATGTGTGAATGAAGCACAGTTTTTATATACAACACATAAAGCATGTCCATGAAAGAAAATAAATTGGTAATGTGGACTTCATTAAATTTTAAAATATTCACTCTGTGAGGACAGCGTTCAGAGAATGGAAAGGCAAGCCCCCTTGCTAGGAGAATATATTTTCAAAATACATATCTAAAGAAAGATATGCATACAAAATATTCAAAGAAGTAGTAAAATGTCACAATAAGAAAGTAAATTCCCCAAATTGAAATAAATGAGGCAATATGAGTAGACACCTTAGTGGATAGTATACGTAAATGAGAAATAGGCATGCATAAGTTGCTGAACATTGGGGAATTATTGGAAAATGATATGCATGGTGCATTAGAGAAAAACAAAACACCAGTTAGATGCTCCACCCATCTGTTAAATGGCTAAATACCCCAAACTGACAATGCCACTTCCTGGTGTGGATGTGGGACAACAGGAAATCTTATTTATTGCTAATGGGAATGCAAATGGTACAGCCTCTTGAGAAGACATATTGCCAGGAAAAAAAAAAGAAAACAATAAAATAACGTAAAATTTTACATTATGTATATTTTACCACAATAAAATACAGATTAAATGTGTGATTGAAACTGATGCAAAAAAACTTCAAGAAAAGGAGGCATGTAAAGATGACAAAGACAAAGATGATAGACTGTTTCTTAATGACCGAACAATTGTTAACACTAACATATCAGAACCAGCAAATTGTGGATAACAACTGAAAGCCAGATCCTCCGATAATTTAATCCTTGAGAAAAGACCCCAGAAACAGAAGAATAAGAGAACTCAGAGCCATCAACAGATAAATTCCAGTGGACTTGATCACTGGAAGATCACTCAAAGATTCCCGTCTTTGTAACTTTTAAGTACTCCTTGTACATTGTTATGTGGGTAAGAGCATATTAAGGTGCTTCATCATTCGATCCTTCAAACAAGCAAAAATCTTGGGATTACCATTGTTTGTTCCTCCCTCATGACTTCTTATCACCAGATTTGAATTCATCAAGCATATTGGGTTCTGATTCTTGAAGACCTTTTCATCTGTTCTCTGGTTTCCGTGGCAGGCCCATAATGTTTCTTGCAGGAATTAGTAATTCCTTTTTCTTCCCCCCTTGAATGGGTCCTCGAAATTTCCATTAGAGTAGTCTTGCTAAAATGCAGATGTGGTCTATCAGTTGAGTCATCATTAAGTGGCTTTCTGCTTACAGATATTCATGGTGTCTAAATCCTGTAATCATTTCTCCCGCTATTCCCCACTTCATTTTCCTGGAGTATCTGAACAGTTCACTATCTTGGATTATGTTTTTCCTTCCACCACAAATTCCTTTCTCTCTGTTGTGCACCTGAAAAACCCACTTCATTTTGCAAAACTCAATTTACACATTATTGTGAAGTCCTTTTAGTGTTGTGATCACACTCTCCTTTTTGCTACCATTGCAATTTTGCATGCTTGATTGTTGCATTTGCTACACTGTATTTTAACGACATTGTATGAGGACACTTGCTGAGGCTCGGGACTATCTTTTTTCATCTGTTGATGTTGCTTCTGCATGTTACTTGGTGTGCAGTGGTCAGCCATAAAAATGAGATTTTAATAAATTAAAAATAGTTATGTACATATATCACTGTACAGATGTAACAGAAAAACCATTAATGTTGCTGCTAGAAGTTCACCTTTGGTAAATGCTGGTGGTACTTGACTCCACTTATAGGTTTTTTTTGCTATTTTATATATTCCGGCCTTAAATCTGGTCTTTATTTCTATACATGTCTTTATGACTAATTCAAGAACAGCAGATATGAAGGTAGAGCTAGGCCACAGGCCATATTTGCTGGAATAGTAAATAAATGTATTTTTGGTGAAAAAGTCCTGAAGTGTATAGGGCCGGGTTCTCCTTTTGAGTCATGTAGACGATCCACTTCCAAAGAGTTTTATCAGCAGCTAATCAAGATGTTTTTGCACCAGGCTCCTGATTAGCTATTAGTGTACTAATAGTAAGTCAGGGTTAAAGTAGTTTCTGATTTGTTTTACATTGTAAATGTTGGGCAGGGGGTTGTGTTTTTCTTTTAATGCTGAAGTGGGGGTGGGGAGTACCAAATGTTCCTTCCCCACTCTTGATAATTTAGTCATGTCAGGAGAGCTCATTAGGTAATTTCAACTCTGCTTCTTTACTTACTCTGCCTCTAGGGTGGTCAAAGGACATACACAGAAAGTTTAAGAAGAATTAACTGGGCATGCTTGCCTTGATTAATTCTGTTCTCTTCCTTGAGAGTGTGAGTGGGTCTTCTGTTTCTCCAGTCCTGTGTATTACTAGGTGGTAATCTGCCCGATTCTGGAGTTCATTTATGGGGCAATTTAGCTCTCATTCAAACTGGGGTTCTCAAACCTGGGTTATCAGTAATAGTAAAAGGAATATTTTAACCTTTATCTTTCCTCTTTTATTTTGTAACCTACTCCAGACCTAGGTGTAACAAGAGTGTTGTACTTTTCCAGGACAATTGACAGACACTAATGCTGGAAGCCGAGCCATCCCAGCCTGAGTGGCAAAGCCTGGGCTGTGGACGGATTGGTGACTGCAAGGCAGCCAACCGACACTGAAGCTTCTTGTACTCCTGCTTTTAGGTAATTTGGCCTTAAAACTACCTGGGGTATAGTCTGTTGGGGAATTGCCCTCGACAGGCCCCCTGGGAAAAGAACCAGTAGGAAAGGAAATAAGGTTCCGCAAGAAATTGTGCGGCCTTACGTTTAGCCCTTGCCATCCCCTATGGAGACTCCTCATACCTTTGCCAGCAAAGAGGGCCTGTATAGGAGAGACATATGGATTTGAAAGCCCCACTCCGGTAACTAAGGAGTGTATCTATGGACACAGGTCACTCTGACCCCTAGGCCCACTTGGCCCCCAGGAGGCATTCCAGATGATGATTGAATCTAGTCGGTTAAGCTACAGAATGGTTCATTGGTTCCTAGGTGCATTGTGTCTCTGAGAATGTATAAGGCGTGGATTTCTTTTAAAAAAAAAAAAATTTTTTTTTAACATTTATTTATTTTTGAGACAGAGAGAGACAGAGCATGAACGGGGGAGGGGCAGAGAGGGAGGGAGACACAGAATCGGAAACAGGCTCCAGGCTCTGAGCCATCAGCCCAGAGCCCGATGCGGGGCTCAAACTCAGGGACCGCGAGATCGTGACCTGAGCTGAAGTCGGACGCTTAACCGACTGCGCCACCCAGGTGCCCCATAAGGTGTGGGTTTCTAAGGCCCTCTTGGCCCCCTTCCTGGCACCTCGGACCCAGGTGAACACTTTGGTTATTCAAAACCACGAATGGTTCAGGGAAACAACTAAGAGGTCATGTCCCTGTAACTGTTCCATTTGAGGTGTTGAGAGATAAATAACCTTTCGTGAAAACAACAAAGCAAATACTTTCTAAATTATAGATAAACATAGATACATAATAAAAACAATAAAAGAAATTAATAAGCAAAGGGCAGGAGGGAACGTTATGACAAAACAATCATGTTATTCCTTATTGGGTGATTATACAAAAGAACAATTTTAGAATTGGGTAACGTTAGAAAAACATAGATGGCGTATGTTACAAGGAAATCATTAGCATATATAATGCCACGTTTACTGCAGTAAATCGGCCAGTTCAACACACTGCTGTTGTCTGTGTCCATTTTTATTTTAGTTTTTTATTTTAGCTTTTTATCTTAGTTTTTTATTTTTATTTTTGTTTTAGTTTTGTTTTATTTTCACTTTTTCGTGGACGCCGTTCATCCTTCGGGAACCCCTGGACCTGCTGGAGCCGGACTCAGCGCGCTAACATTTGGTTCATTCCCTGAGAACACTGAGAAATAAGAAGGAACAGAGTTTGGAAAGTAAAATGTCCATGTGGAAAGTGTTTTGGTATTGCCAGAGAAGATGGCTTTGTGCTTGGTCTGTCTTAGGTGGTAGGACATTGTGACCTTTGACAATTTGAAAATATTTAGGTTAGGTCAGGCAGGTTTGGGCAGTAAACCACTAATGCCTGAGAAAGGTTTATTGCATGCGTGTTAGTTTTCTGTGGCTGCCGTAAAAATGACCACAAACTTGGCTTCAGCTATAGAAGTTTCCTCTCTCGTGGTTCTGGAGGCCAGAGGTATCAGCAGGTCTCTACTCCCTACAGATTATGTAGGGGAGAATCCAATCTGTGCCTCTTTTAGCTTCTAATGGTCGTTAGCTTCCTTGGCTTACAGCCACATCGGTCAATCTCTGACTTTGTCTTCACATCACTTTCTCCACTGTGTGTCTGTATCTTCCTTTTTTCTGCCTCAAATCCCCCTCTGCCCTTCCTGTATAAGGACACTTGCTGTTGTATTCAGGGCCCACCTGAATTACACCTTCAAAGACTTTTTGTCCAAATGTGCTAACAATCATAGATTTTAAGAATGAGGATATGGGCCTCTCTTTTGGGGAGGGGGGTGCATCATTCAGCCCACTCCATCAGCCATAAGATACTTTGATTTTGACTGATGAATGCATGCAGAGTGTCAGTTTCTGTAGTCACTTATGTATGTAAAGGTCTGGCTTAAAGAAAAGGGGCCTTGGGGAGTCGCAGGTGGCTGAGAGAATGGAGCAGAATAAAAAAGGTACCAGGAGGATCTTTAGGTACTGGACTTTTAGGGCGCCCAGAAATTTACAGGGCGGGGAAGTCTTAGGCAACTGCCCACGTTAGTTTACTTTTCAGTACACCTTTCCTAAGCAGGCTTGATGGAAACAAAGACTCCATTGTAGGGAAAGTTTGATAAAACTTGTCAGTATTGACATACATGGCTTGCCATAGGCTCAACTGATCCATTTGCCATGTGGACCCACTGACTCTGAATTTGTCAATTATGTGTGAGAAAGAAATGTTCTCTAAGAGGTAGCCTTCTGTGGTCTACACAATTCCATAGCAGGAGGCAGTGAAAATGGCCACGTTGGCACAGGACTGTAAAATCTGTCAGAGACTGCAGATGCAACGTCATTAGACAGAACACATCATCAGTTCAGTAATGCACTGTGAACAACAGGTGATCAAAGAAGTGTAAATGAAGCATCTACGGATGATCAGTGCACAGTGTTGTGCCCTGTCCATGGCAGACTCATAGTACCAAGTGCACTTGATGCTGAAAGAATCCTCTTTCTCAAGTCAACAACGTCAGATAAATAGCATAGACTAGTGGACCTCCTAGTGAAGCTGAAGTCAAAGGGACTTTATTTTTCTCTCAAATGCCATTGAGTTTTTGCTGTGTTCTTTGGGCACTTTCTGTACTGGATTCTGAGAACAAAAATTTGCCTAGTTTCAGTGTTCTGGGAGTCAGGAGTTGGCTTGCTTTCTGCATGTTTTGGTTGCGAGGCTAGTTCTGAAAAATCAAGATTTCTTATTAACTCTCTGTCCTCATTAAAAGCTTGGTTCATGAGAGACCAGTAAAACAGCTGAAGCCCTAAGAGGCCTCTCCCCATGTCACAGTGGGAAATCTGAGCAGCAAATACTGAAGGAGCCCTCGGTCCCACTCAGGCACTGAGAACCCTTGCCATTGAGAATGAACCAAGTAAGACATTGGGGAGGATTATTTATGGACGTTTAGGACTTTGGACTTTTACTCACAATAACAAAGAAACAAGATTTCAAAACTGGGCTTTAACACTTTGAGACTTTCATCTATAAGAGGGTTTGGTCTGTGTCCTTAATTTCTCCACAGCACATCTGATAATGGCAAGGGTTTACTTTCAAATTTGGGACATTTCTATGATTCTCAGATTGTATTATTGGAATGGCTTTATATATTTAATCTTAATTTGTCATTTAACCTCATCCAATTTCTGTAGTTAATTGTAATTTAGGATGGCTAATAGAAGATAGGGTTGGTTTTCATCATTGGATATGAATAGCCTTGGAGTTAATCTAATTAATGCAGTTTCTCACCCATATCAGAGACTTCTGAGATAAAAATCTAACTTGCCCACCAGTGAGACTTCAGGGTGTATTTCAATGCATTAAGCAAAAGCAGGGAAGTGCCAGTGAAAATTTTTCTTCTTCATTTCTAATGTACCTCTATGTGAAAGGAATTTGATTAGTGTAACTGACCTTCCTGTTCCTCTACTCACTGATGCTGGGCAGGGGAAGTGGCCTATTTGACTGCTAAGGTTGAGAGGAATAAACAGCCATATTTTGCTCAGTTCTTCTTTTCTTCATCTTGTGATTGAGGCAAAAGTTCTCTATTCCCCTAAGCTGCATGGGTGTGGGTCTTACATGGGCATGCCCCTCTCACATAGGTTTGTCTGGAACCATCTTGCTACATACAAAAAGTGGATAAATCTAGCATATAATTAATTCTAGAGTGCAGGTAACAGACTCATTTGACTCTCTGTTAAGCCAGGTTTTCCAGCATGGGTGCTGTCATTAAAAAGGTGACATCATGTGTGGGTCCCAGCAAAATGAAAATGTGTGGCCCCTTGTTTAAAATGCAAGGACAAAGTGCTATTAAAAGCATTTAGACTGGGTTGAATAGTGCCTGCCTCCCAAAAGTCACATCCCTTGGAACCTGTGAATGTGACCAAATACATCTTTTTTTGGATAGAATCAAGTTGAGATGAGACCATACTAGGTTAGGGTAAGCCCCTAATCCAATGCCTACTGTCCTTGTGCAGAGGAAGGGTTTGGAGCTGCACGGACAAATAGAGGAAAGACGGTCATGGGACAAGAGAGGCAGACACTGAGGCAATATGGTTCTGCTGCTGAGAACACCAAGGATTCCCAACAACCACCAGAAAGAAGCCAGAAGAGGCAAAGAAAGATTCTCTCCTAGATCCTACCTGTTGGCACCTTGATTTGGGACTTCTAGCCTTCAGAACTGTGAAAGAATACATTTCTGTTATTTAAGCCACCAAGTCTGTGGTATTTTGTTATGGCAGCCCTGGGAGATTAATATAGTATTTAAATATAAAGTTTTTTTTTCCTTTTTTTCTGTATCCTCTCTCAACTTGTCCTGGTGGCTTTTTTTTTTTTTAATTTGCTATGTAATGTTTTTCTGAATAAAGGTTTAAATTATTGTGACTTTTACTGTTCCTCTTTACATCATGAAATGTCAGTTTTACATGCAAATATAAGAACATTTCTCTCATATGCAAAATCACTGAAAAATTACACAATTCCTATTTTATAGTTTGCATATATACACATAAGTATTTTTTAAATCAGAACAGGGGAAATCCTATACAAACTAACTCAACTGTTTTAAAAAAAAAATTTTTTTTTAACGTTTATTTATTTTTGAGAGAGACAGAGACAGAATGCCAGTGGGTTAGGGGCAGAGAGAGAGAGGGAGGCACAGAATCCAAAGCAGGCTGCAGGATCTGAGCTGTCAGCACAGAGCCTGATGTGGGGCTCGAACTCACGAGCTGTGAGATCATGACCTGAGCCGAAGACGGACTCTCAACCGACTGAGCCACTCAGGCGCCCCTAACTCAACTGTTTTTATTTAATTTCTTGATAAGTACACATTCCACCTTTGCTTACCTTACCAACGAATAAGGAAGGATTCAAAAGGAACTACGGGTTGCCTTCTCTTCTCTTTTCCATATATGTCGTCATTCTAAGTAGTTGGCTAATACTGGGAAGTAACTAAGTAAGAAAGGATTAGATAAGATTTTTTGGCCAATCCTGTTTCTTAAAACACACTTGCTTTTCTTTCTGCATTAGAGGTAACTTTTGGTTCAAATGGAAAGTGTGGCCTCTGAGAACTGTTAACACCTTCAGTTGCAGATGTGACCATGAACACAGAATTCTGGTGGACCCACAATGCGTGGGAACTCAGACTCCAAATGAGTACAAAATAAACATGTTGTGGAAGCCACATGACAAGCAGGTACAAGCTATTATGTGAAGGTAACAGCAGGAATGGTGACAGACACACATGGTTCATCTTATCTCCTTTGCTCACACGCATATTCTATCGTCCCACTAGCTTCACATACAAACACAAGTTTAAAGATAGATAAAATTATTAAGAATACCAAGACAACCCCAGCAGAGCATGAAACCAAGCATGGTACCATTCTAAGTGTGGGGCCTGGGCATCTACACGTGTTATCTCATAAACCGGATCCTGAGTGACTTTTTCTTTTTAATTGTGGTAAAAAACGCATAATGTGAAACCCCCCTCATAAATTCTTTTAAGTTTTGACTACCGTATACAGTACAGTATTGTTAACTATATGTACATCATTGTATACCAGATCTCTAGAACCTTTTCATCTTCAGACTCTATATCCATTGGCCAACTAACTCCCCATTTCTTCCTCCCCTCCAGCTCCTGGCAACCACCAGTGTACTTGCTGCTTCTATGAGTTTGACCACTCTAGATACCTCATGTAAGTGGTATTTGTCCTTTTGTGACTGGCTTCTTTTACTTAGCATAATGTCCTCAAGGTTCATTCTTGTTGTGGTATATGGCAGGATTTCCTTCTTTTTAAAGGCTGAATAATATTCTATCACATGTATGTACTGTATTTTGTTTATCACTTCATCCGTCAATAGACACTTAGATTGTTTTTACCTCTTGCATATTGTGAATAACACTCCATTATACTGGGAATACAAATATCTCTTCAAGATCCTGTTTTTAGTTGTTTTGGATAAACACCCAGAAGTACAATTCCTGGATCGTATTATGGTAGTTTTTTTTTTTTTTTTAACTTTTTGTGGAATCTCTGTACTGTTTTCAATAGTGCCTGTACCAGATGACATTCCTACCAACAGTGTACAAGAGTTCTAATTTCTCCACATCCTTACCAACATTTGTTATTTTCTGTTTTGTTTTGATAATGGTGATCCTAACAGATGTGAGGTGATATCTCATTGTAGTTTTGATTTGCATTGTCCTCATGATTCCTGATGTTCAGCATTTTTTTCATTTACTTATAGGCCATTTGTCTAACTTCTTTGGAGAAATGTCTATTCAAATCCTTTGTCCAATTTTAAAATCAAGTTATTTGTGTTTGTGGGTTTTTTCTCTTGCTATTGAGTTGCAGGAGTTTCTAATATATTTTGGATATTAACCCAAATATTTTTTCCCATCCTGTAGCTTGATGTAGTCCCACTTGTCTATATATTCCTTTGTTGCCTGTGCTTTTGGTGTCATGTCCAAGACCAGTATTATGAAGCTGTTCCCCCTGTTTTTTACTTCAAGGAGTTTTATAGTTTTAGGTCTTACATGTAAGCCTTTCATTCATTTTGAGTTGAATTTTGTGTATTGTTTAAAATAAGGGACCAGGGGCGCCTGGGTGGCTCAGTCGGTTGAGCGTCCAGCTTCGCTCAGGTCACGCTCTCACGGTCCGTGAGTTCGAGCCCCGCATCGGGCTCTGTGCCGACAGCTCAGAGCCTGGAGCCTGCTTCAGATTCTGTGTCTCCCTCTCTCTCTGGCCCTCCCCCCATTCATGCTCTGTCTCTCTCTGTCTCAAAAATAAATAAATGTTAAAAAGAAAATTAAAAAAAAAAATAAAATAAAATAAGGGACCAATTTCATTATTTTGCAGTGTGGGTATTTACTTTTCCCTACACCATTTGTGGAAGAGCTGATCCTTCCCCCCATTGTACATTCTTGGTACACGTGTCAAAGATAATTTGACTATAAATCCATGGATTTACTTCTGGACTCTCTGTTGTTCCATTGGTCCTTGTATGTCTTTTTTTTTTTTTTTTAATGTTTATTTACTTATTTTGTATGTGAAAGAAAGAGCTCAAGCAGGAGAGGGGCAGAGAGAGAGGAAAACAGTTCCAAGCAGGCTCCGCACTGCCAGCGCAGAGCCTGATCCGGGGCTAGAAGCCACAAACTGTGAAATTGTGACCTGAGCCAAAACCAAGAGTCAGATGCTTAACAGGCTGAGCCACCCAGGTGCCCCTCTGTATCTGTCTTTATGGCAGTACCATACTGTGGTGATGATTGTAGCTTTGTAATACATTTTGAAACCAGGAAGTGTGAAGTCTCCATCTGTGTATGTGTGAAAACTTCAGGGTTTTCTACATATATAATCATGTCATCTATGAACAGAGATAATTTTCCTTCTTCCTTTCTGATTTAGATGCTTCATATTTCTTTTTCTTGCATAATTGCTCTAGCTACTACTTCCAGTACTATGTTGAGTAAAAGAAAAGAGAGTGGGCATCCCTTCCTTGTTTCCAATATCAGAGGGGAAGTTTTTTGTTTTTGTTTTTTTTTTTCATTATTGAGTATAATGTTAGCTGTGGGCTTTTCATATATGGCCTTGAAAATGTTAAGATAATTTCTTTGTATTCCTAATTTATGGAGTGTTTTTATTATGAAAGGGTATTGAATTTGTTTTTTCTCCGTCTATTGAGATTCTCATCTGATCTTTATCCTTTGTTACATTAATGTGGTGTATCACATTTATTGAATTTTGTATGTGGAACGATTCTTGCATCTCTGGGATAAATTCCACTTGGTCATGGCATATGATCCTCTTAATGTGCTGTTGAATTTGATTTTCTAGTATTTTGTTGAGGTTTTGTGCATCAGTATTCATAAGAGATATTGGCCTGCAGTTTTCTTGTAGCATCTTTGTCTGGTTTGGGCATCAGAGCAATGCTGGCCTCATAATTGAGTTTAGAGATATTCCTCCTTCTTCAGTTTTGTGGAGGACTTTGAGAAGGATTAGTATTTGTTTTTATTTAAATGTTCAGTAGAATTCACCAGTGAATCCTTCTGGTCCTTTTTCTTTTTCAGGGAAATTTTTGATTACTGATTGAAATTTTCTATTTCTCCATGATTTACTCTTATAGGTTGCTAGGAAGTTCTCCATTTCTTCAAGGTATTCCAATTTGTCATAGTAATTGTTCATAGGACTATTTTATAATCCTTTTTATTTCTGCAGCATCAGTTGTAGTATCTCCTCTTTCTTTTTTATTCAAACCCTTTTTTTTTCTTATTCCAGCTAAGGATTTATCACTTTTGATTATCTTTTTGAAAACCAACTCCTAGTTTTGTTGATTTTTTGTTTTTTTCTATTCTCTATTCATTTTCTGTTGTATTTCTGCTCTCTGCCTCATTTATTTCTGTTCTAATCAATATTATTTTCTTCCTTCTGCTAACTTTGCATAATATTTTTGTAGTCCTTGAAATTTAAAGTTAGATTGTTTATTTGAGATCTTTTTTAATGCCGCAGACATTTATCACTATATACTTCTCTCTTTGTACTGCTTTTGCTGCATCCTGTCATTTTTGGTATGTTCTTTTTTCACTTTTGATGGTCTCAAGATACTTTCTTTTTTTTTTAAATTTTTTTTTCAACGTTTTTTATTTATTTTTGGGAAAGAGAGAGACAGAGCATGAACGGGGGAGGGGCAGAGAGAGAGGGAGACACAGAATCGGAAACAGGCTCCAGGCTCTGAGCCATCAGCCCAGAGCCCGACGAGGGGCTCGAACTCACGGACCGCGAGATCGTGACCTGAGCTGAAGTCGGACGCTTAACCGACTGCGCCACCCAGGCGCCCCGATACTTTCAAATTTAACTTTTCATTTATTTTTTGGCCAATTGGGGGTTCAAGAGTGTTTAATTTAACTTCCACATATGTAAATTTTCCAGGTTTTTTTTTTGTTTTTTGTTTTTTGTTTTTTTTTTTTCCTGCTATTGATTTCTAGTCTCATTCCATTATGGTCAGAGAAGATATGTGGTATGATTTCAGTCTTCTTCAATTTAAGTCTTGTTTTGTGATCTAACATGTGATCTACCTTGGAGAATGTTCTGTGGCACTTGAAGTTTAATTGCCATTCGGTGGGAGGTTCTGTATATGTCTGTTAGGTCCATTTGGTCTCTAGTGTTGTCCAAGTGCTCTGTTTCTCTATTGATCTGCCTGGATAGCCTATGA